GACGGTCCCAGTTTCAGGGCATGGTCCCAGTTTTCAGTAGAACTCTGACTGTAGATGATTGGTTATAGTTCACTACAAAGCCAGTTAACAGCAGAGAGAGGGGCGGGGCAGGGGGGACGGAGACCCCATTCTCAAATGTCAATATTTGTGGAGGAAGGGAACGGTAGGGAGCCCACTCAGTGTGTTCCGGCATCATCCCTTCCAGTGGGAAACACTAGACCTCAGATGTGTCTGCATGGCCGATTCGGAGCCTGCATAAATCAAAACTAGAATCGGGGCTTCTATAATGCAACAGGTCAGCGTGCGTGCAAACGGAGGGCCCGGATGAACTAGAAGACACCTGCTAGTCTTATTAAAATGAGAGAGGTAGAAACCAGAAACACTTCTCCCGTGTTGTGCTGAAAAGAGCACGAACATCAGGTGACAAAGGTTCGTCACAGGCAAGTGTGACAAAGGCTGATCAAAGGGCTCTCTGTTAGCTACCCCGTGTGATTCCACAGCAATCAAGGAGGGGAAAGCAGGGAGTAGAAAAAAGAAAGGGACAGAGAGAGGACCTGGACTTATTCCAGGGTTACTCTAAGAGCTCACCACCTTCTACATGATGAACGAGGCCCAATCTTCTCATTGAATGGCACTGCAACAACCAGGTAACCATCCAAACAAAATTAATTTGTGACAGATCACAGATCTATACATAAAAATGAAAACAATAAAAATGGAACACGTAGAAGGCAGCAGAGAGAGTGAAGGAGGCAGATCCATAGCTGGGTAAGGCTCGGTGCTCAGGCTCGGATTTGGACAGCCTATGACCGGCACAAACCTGGTTCCCTCCTGGGTAACCGGGACTAAGCAATATGCCTGCTGCAGAAACGCTCAAAGCACTTAGTGTGGCCCATGCTCGTTAATGTTAGCTATTATTATTATTTGCTCGTAAAGCACTGTGCAGAAGGAAACTTGCCAGTCTGATCAACATGGCACAGTGAGCCAGTATCATCGGAAGGATGTGAGCCAACAGCAGGGTGACTGAAGACAAGAAAACTATTATACAAGTATAGGTTTAACACCACTTCTTTTATAATAATATTTGACTGCAAATGGGCCATTTTAAGTTATTTTGCTACCAAAGTCTGCTTTTTTGCAAACCCTCAGCACCAAATTAGCCCATTTTCACAATTCCTAAAACGTATATTAGCCAAAAAGTTTCACCTAAATACAGCAAACCTTTAAATTTAGCTTCCAGTTGAAAGGAAACAGAGGGACTAGAGGCACAAGTTGGGTGATAACAAGAAAGGAAGCAAACAATCCAGAATGTGGAATATTCTGCAGGACAGATAATTGGTGGGGTCTCTTTATTAAGTCTAGAAATGAAAAGATCCTTTAAATGCTAGAATAAAAGAGATTCAAGGGATATACCGACCAAAGGTGATGCTTGAGCCTGGACAGGATACTGCTTAGGACAATCTGGGGGACATTTTGAGAAACTAGAAAGTGGGGTATATGCTAAAGACAGGACAAACTCTTTTTTTTTTTATAAATTTTTTTTTTCCCAACGTTTATTTATTTTTGGGACAGAGAGAGACAGAGCATGAACGGGGGAGGGGCAGAGAGAGAGGGAGACACAGAATTGGAAACAGGCTCCAGGCTCTGGGCCATCAGCCCAGAGCCCGACGCGGGGCTCGAACCCACAGACTGCGAGATCGTGACCTGGCTGAAGTCGGACGCCTAACCGACTGCGCCACCCAGGCGCCCCGACAAACTCTTATTGACCTGAAAGCGAGCTTGTATTAACGTAAAAATGTTACAAATAGCAAATTAGCATAGCTCATTTAATAAAAATGCACACGTGCACACATAAACATCTAGAAGGATATAATAGTAAAGAATTAACGGTACTAATTTTTGGATGATCAAATAGAGTGTTTTGTTTGTTTACCTATATTCTAAGATGTACATAATTGATTTTATAATAACAACGGATCATTTTTAATTTTTAAAAGACCGGACTTTTTTTTTTTAATGTTTATTTTTGAGAGAGAGACAAAGCACGAGCAGGGGAGGGGCAGAGAGAGAGGGAGACACAGAACCCGAGGCAGGCTCCAGGCTCTGAGCTGTCAGCACAGAGCCTAACGCAGGGCTTAAACCCACGAACCATGAGATCATGACCTGAGCCGAAGTTGGTCACTCAACCGACTGAGCCACCCAGGCACCCCTAAAAAGACCGGATTTTAAGACAAGGCATAAGGAAGTAAAGTAAAAATTCATGGGGGGAAAACAGCAGGTATGCTCGGCAGGACTGGGTCTCCCGGATGCTGCTGATGCTGACTACCATCAAGCCAACGTGTAAGTGTAGGAAAACACCCACACCTCTGTGGGGTTGGGTCCAGGAAAGAAAAGAAACATTTTATTTATTTTTTAAATATTTATTTTTTTTGAGAGAGTGTGTGCTCAAGCGGCGGAGGGACAGAGACAGAAAGAGAGAGAGGGAGGAAGAGAGAATTCCAAGCAGACTCTCCCACTGCCAGAGTCCCGACTCGGGACTCCATCCCATGAATCTCGAGATCATGACCTGAGCCGAAATCAAGAGTCAGATGCTTAACTGACTGACCTGGGCACCCAGGCGACCCAGGAAGAAACATTTTAAAAATAGTGTGGTCAATTGTGCCCACCATGCCACTGAGTGCATGTATATCCCCTGTCGGTTTCTCCACATGAGGCCCACAGACTCTTATAGAAGATCCATACACCCTGAGGTCAGCACTCAAAATTTGTGGCAGAATAGCGAGGAATCCATCTAATGATGAGAACCATTGCCTTCAAATGTTAGCCATGTAGCTTTTTATTTTTTATTTTTGTTATTTAAAAAAACATTTAAAAAAATGTTTTATTCATTCTTGAGAGAGAGAGAGACAGAGCATGAGTGGGGGAGGGGCAGAGAGAGAGAGACAGAGAGACATAGAATCTGAAGCAGGCTCCAGGCTCTGAGCTGTCAGCACAGAGCCCAACACGGGGCTCGAACTCACCAACCACAAGATCATGACCTGAGCCAAAGTAGGATGCTTAACTGACTGAGCCACCCAGGCACCCCAGCCATGTTGCTTTTTAACAGTGGGTCCTGGAAAATGCTCTTTCAATTCCAAAAGATCTGAGAAAGGAAGAAGGCTGAGTAAGGTGGTTGGACCCTCTACTCACACAGACTCCTCAGCTCCTGTGTGAAGCCATCCCTGTCCCCAGCTCCTGATGCACCAGGAGGGGACAAGGCACAAGATCTCACCTTCAGGACAAGTTCCTCAGTGGCCCACACTGCCCTGACACTGCTACCAGCTGGGACATGTGGGGGCTAACAGGGCCTCAGGTCCCTGCCCCCAAACACACTGGGCCCTTTCCCCTTCTTGGTCTCAGTCCTTAGCATTCTTCAAAGAATCAGAGTGAGTGAGTCAGAGAGCCCCGATTTGATGGGATATATTAGCAAATGCCAGAAATTTGGGAAAGTGCACGTTAGGAATAAGCAAATTCGGAGGCAAGTGAGGGAAAGGACTCTGGCTTCTCTTTGAAAGCTTCAGCTCAGAGGACTATTTCTGAGCAGCACGCTGCAACCTCTGAAGTCCCAAGAATTCAATAAAGAAACTACTGAACCTCATGAATGCTGTATGTCTCTTACTAAAAACAGATTCCATGGGATCTTGATCAGTAGACCAGATGACAAGAGGGAAGTCTGGGCTGGGGTCTGCAGTGAACAGTTGTTTTATTACAGTATCGGTCAGATTCCCGGCGACATCGAGTCTTTGACAGGCACAGCCCGATCACTCAGAAGAGTCATGAGGGGACCGACCTTCCATCTACTCACAAATCAGGTCCAAAGGCCAACCCCTTCCTTAGAGGCAAGTATTTGTTTGCATCTGGGCTCCAGCTGCAAAGTACCTTTTTCCAGCAGGACAGGTCAGGCAGCATGCCCGGAAGGCAGGCTCTGTGTGTCAGGAGAGGTGGGTCCTGCTCCCAAGGAGCTTGGGGTCGGGGTGGGGTGGGGCAGGGGGGGGGGGGGGGGTGGGTGTTAAGCCAGGACAAGGAGCCCAGCATCTGATTAGAGCCTGCCACCCACACTACTGCAAATTCCCAAGCGTTTTAACAAGTCACTAGGCTGTACTTACTGCACTATGCATTTACTTCAACGTTCCTTAAAGTTAAATTATGTTTTATAGGGTGTTACCCATATTCCTATGTAAATTTTCTTGACTGTGATGACTGGGAACTATCTTTCCCCTCCACTTGACTGGCCGAGCGTGTGGGAGCCTGGTGAACAGAAAATACTGCAGTTGCCATGTTCTTAAAATAGTCTGAGGAAGGGAGGGAAGAAATGGAGATGAGCACCCTCAAATGCCTGGCAGGAATGACTGGCAAGTAGGGGTAATTGCAAAACAAAATAAATGACATGACATCAAACAAAACCAAAAGTAGAGTTTATCCCTGATAAGTTGGAGAAGAAGCAATGCATGATTATAAAATTTAAGAGCATTTGTTGAATGAGAGAACCCTAAGCTTGATGGTCTAAACTTCAGGATTGAAAACACTGAGTAGAAGATTAAGAGAAGGTGACAAAAGCTTCCAGAAAAATAGATATTAGGAATTTAGATTAGCTATTTGGGGTCTTCTGATTGTTTTGAATTCAAATAGAATACAGCTCCTTAGCTCATCACCTTGCTGCCCGTCAGGAGGCGGGAGAAGTCACCCCACGAAGGAGAAGGGACCCAGCTGGCAGTGCAGAACTTGGACTCTGTTATTCTTCCAGTCCCAGCACAGAGCTGACTCCAGGTACCCTCCCAGGGCACTGGTGGTGGTGGCTGTCGGACCCTGGTTCCTTATGTTCTCTCAGAAGGCCTTGTGGGAAGACCTTTCCAGACTCGTTGGTGTAATTGATGTTGCTTCCTTAGCATTTACATGGAACTCAAGAGACCCGAGGGGAAGCTCCTCCGGCAACTTTCCAGATATTTGAGCCACATACGTACCTCATCTCCATGCATGTTGGCCACGTATTTGAACTCTGGAATCCCAATTCTATGCTCCTTTGGGAAGCGCCCCACAACAAGAACCCACAGGTTTCTGCCTTTACAGGGAAGAGAAAGGTAGAAAAATAAGTTGTGTTTGAAAATGACAAATGAACTCTGGGAGAATGAGAAGACAGCAAACTGCGGCTTCTCCCACCTGACTCACATCTCGTGATGCCCAGAGCACACAGGACTGACACCTCTGTGCTTAAAATGCTTAGTTCCCTACCAGCCCAGATCCCTTCAATTTAGCACAGATATTTCACTTCTTGTTTTAGAACGCGATTTTTTAAAAATCGAAAACTGATTAGGTTACATAGGTCGTATTTTTCCAAAACGTTTACACGCTCTGCTCTGAGTCCCTAGTGCTTTTTAGAAAGGATCTTGCTAATTTTCCTAATTATACAAACTTAAATTACAGTCAATGGTTGACTGGGAGGGTGCCTTACTTCTCAGTACAAGTGAAAAAAGCAACAAGCAATAAAACGTGGAACTCAGAAAGGAGATTGTACGTATGTATGTACGTATGTATTTATTTACTTATTTTGGGGATATTGTTTTTAAAGTAAGAAATCTTGAATCTTGTATTCAAACCCTGAGGTAACACAGCTCCTTGGCAAGGAGTGCCCTTTATGTGCTTGAGTCTTGCCAAGTAAACTGGGAACAACAATGTATCCTAATGATGCCTCAAGGAAAACTTCTAAGTCCTAACCCTGCCTGAGGAGCTGGATTCCGGCAAGGAAGGGCAGAGATTAAAGATCAATGAGGATCTGCTCTGTGCAGACATCACGGCTGGGACCCCGGTACGCACTATCTCAGTAATCCCTTATCGTGACCCACTGAGACGGATCGTGAACCAAACTTTACAAGTGAGAAAACTGATCTTCCCAACATTAAAGTAAGCTGCTTCTGATCACACAGCCAGTGAGAAGCTGTGATTTGAGCCCCAGAGCCAAGACCTGACCTATTGGACTTCAATTCCAGTGAGCCTTCTAATAACGAAAACTGGCCGTCTCCCTGGAGGCTTGGTTTCCTAATCAGTAAAATGAAGAGGTCTCTTTCAGTCATCATGATAACTGATGATGAGATGATGAAGAGATGACTAAAATCATCTCTTTTAGTCATCAGGCTCTTTTAAATACAAAGACTTTAAAAATGAGAAATTGAGGAGTATATTCGAAAGCTATCACATAGACACAAAGTTCAAATGTCCGTGATATCTGAGCCTTCTGTAGAATTCACGAGCCCAGAGAAGGAATTTAACAGCAGCTCCTGGGCTAATGTGAAGGTTTCTGTGGAATTTCAGATCTAGTCCCTTAAATCAGGGGTCCCACAGGCTGAGGAACACTCCGTTGGCATGAGGAATCCAGGGAGAAACAGATACTCGGCCTGTCTTTTCCAGCATTCATAATTTATTATAACAATTTTGTAAGGAAATTTTTCAAGCCAGAATGATGCTTTAAATTCAGTAACTGCAGGATTTCTCAGAAAACACCCACAAAATGCCACGTATCTGACTGATGCCACCTGTTTAGTGCAGAATCCTCATTCATTCATACATTCATTCATTTAGTAGTACTGTATCCAGCCATTTAGGCAGGTGAACAGATGGTACAGGTAAGTTATACTCTCGACACCCAGTGAATTTCTGATCTAAGTGGAGACTAGTGATGCGCGAACACATCATTACACTAGACTGTAATGCACATGGCCACAGAAGTGTAGGTAGGTACCGTTGTGCCTGTAGAATAAAAGGAATGGTTAATTTTCCCCAAGGAGAGGATCATGAAAAACTTTACAGATCTAGGGGTTTATAGATGACTTCAGAACAGGGTTTTGAAGAATGATTCCAAGTTTGCCATGTGGCAAGTATAAGCCATCCCGGGATTTCTCATCAGAACCATTTCATTAACCTCAGAAGCTTCTATTCCCCGGTATGAATTCTTAGGGCATCTGGAGTTTCACTTCTACAAAGTTAATATTTTCATGTGAGTAAGGAAAAACTTTCTGAGTGAGCTAGTAACCCTGGTTCTTGAGGGTTCCTTCTGGAGAATTCTTTTCCCTGGCTATTAATGCCTTTAAAGCTAGAATAATCAGATTTGTACAGAATATGACCTAGTCCCCTCCTAGGCAAGGGGGAAAATTCAATAATCTCAACCTAATATTTACCAATTGTGATAACACTATCACAACCGATTTGCAACAGCTGGCTTGTTACGTAAGGCTAGGGAAAGACAACAAAACCAGACTTGACGTGGATAGCCAATACTAATTGGCTTAAGGAAGGACGGAAATCAAACCAATAAAAACCTAAGTGAACAAATACTTTGTGGGTAACTCAATCTCCATTTTAGCATGAATGGCTCCTAAGTGAACTGCAAGATGAGAAATTTACCTCGAATAACCTCAGTGGCACCACGTTTGAGAATGAAAACCAACCAATGATCCCGGAAGATATTCATGCAATGCTTTTGGAATGACAAGCTTCTTGAAGGGTTTTAACCTCCTCTCCACAAGCACTGGCCACCTCTGGCTTAGACCAGAGTAAATGGACAGAGAACAAACTTTACTTTTCACAGTATGACTGCCAAGACAAGGGTAATTTAAACAAGGTTTTTTTTTTTCTTATCGAGGTTGGAAAGGCTACCCTATTCCCCCAAATTCTTTCTAATGCCAGATGTGAAGAGTTCTGAAATGCTTGGTGCCTTTCTCCTCACTACAGAGTAAGCGAAACTTGGATTTCAAATATTTCATGATGTATATTATATTCAGGAACTGGGAGCTTGACACAAATCCCAGGGGTGTGACATACGTGTCTCACTGGGTTTGCTTGGAAGATCAGGAAAAGTTTTACAATTTAGAAGGATTCACAAAGATCCAAAGACAAGAAAACAGATAATAAATGCCAAGAAGTACTTCAGGTGTTCAGGGGAAAGCAGATGGAGAAGTTTGGAAAGCTAAGTATCGCTTCAACAGGTAGAGATGGGAGGAGTGTCATACCCACATCAGAATCACGTGGATCCTTGTAAAAATGCCAACCCCTGAGCCCCATCTGCTAAGTCAAACTCTAGGGGGTAAAGCCCCAAAGCTGCATTTAACAGGCTCCCTTGGTGATTCTGAGGCCCGTTAAAATGTGAAAGCTTGTTGAGACTGAGATAGTGAATGTCCAGATAGATCTGGAAGCCACCTGATCTTTAGGTAAAACCATTTCATTTTACATATAATCATGAACATGCTTCTATGTTAACAAATATACTCCTTTTTAAATGGCTGCTTAATATCTTACCATATGAATACATTACCATTTATTCAACCAATACTCTTTTGTTAGATGTTCAAAATTAAGTTTTAAAAAAAAAATTTAATGTTTATTTATTTTTGAGAGAGAGAGAGAGAGAGAGAGAGACAGAGCACAAGCAGGGGAGGGGCAGAGAGTGAGGGAGACACAGAATCCAAAGCAGACTCCAGGCTCTGAGCTGTCAGCACAGAGCCTGATGTGGGGCTTGAACCCACAAACTGCGAGATCATGACCTGAGCCGAAGTCGGACGCTTAACTGACTGAGCCACTTCAGTAAGTATTTTTATGTAAATCCACTAAAATTACATACAGAATTTATAACAAAACTATTTTATCACGTGAAAGAAATAAGAATACAAAATTATATAAACTACAACCATGTAAAACAGATTTTCATTTAAAAAGTACCATGGAGGGGCACCTGGATGGCTCAGTCGGTGGAGTGTCTGACTCTAGATTTCAGCTCAGGTCAGGATCCCAGGGTTGTGGGATTGAGCCCCAGGTCAGGCTCCAAGCTATGCATGGAGCCTACTTGGGATTCCCTTTCTCACTCCCTCTGCCCCTCCCCCCACCTTGCTCATGTGGTACACTCTCCAAAAAAAAAAAAAAAAAAAAAAAAAAAAAAAAAAAAAAAAGCCTTAAATTAACATATGAGTCTACAAGAGTTGACAATGGCACACCATGAGTGATAAGGGTTTGAGTGATAGGGTGATGAAATCAAATAATTTTTTTCTCCTATGCATCAGACCCCCTAAGCACTTTGTTACCTGAGCTTCACAACACTTTCATGTGGTGGGTGGTACCTACAACTTACTGTTAAGGAAACTGATTCAAGTGGTAGGGTTCTAACCCAGGTCTGATTCCAAGATCTGTATTCTTCTGAGGACTCCAGGCTGTCTTAATCTCCCTGAAAGTTCTAGATAGGCCAGAGCCAACCTCCCCCATGGGAAACATTCCCAGGCCATTCTTTCAATGTTGTGTTGCTATGGTTTACACCTGGGGCAAGACCCAGGCTGCCACCTGGGATGACCAACTGAGCCAAGATAAGACACCCGATTTGAAGGCTATCCTGTCTGACTCTGCTCAGAGCTTCTCAGTGGAACGTGCCCAGAGAGAAGCAGACTCTGCCTGGGTGGCCTGGTCACTGGAGCAGAGTGGCTGTAATGATGAGCCACATTCCGGTTTTTCATGAGGCTTGTTTGTATGTACTGTATGATCCACGTAGCACTGGTATCCAGAGGGATGAATCAGCTGCTGGTTTCCCAGACTCTGCATTGCTCTGTGTATCCCTACAATTACCCTCTGAACCCAAGTCAGAGCTTGAGGGAGCTTGCCTGATAGAGTGTCTGCATATAGAAGTGGGAATAACAGCTCAGTGGGCAAGGCTGTTGTAAGGCTGATGAATTCCTTCCTCCTTCCCTAAGTATGAGTCAAAGATCTGACACCAAACCTTCCACTTCACTTGTGCACCTTCCCACTACCCGCACACACACACAGCTTGACACACAGCTACGAAGCCCTGCATTCGATAATGGACAAGGTGAAAACAGCATGTTACTTAAATCAAGTTGAACATTTGGCCTCCAAAGTTCACATGTCCTCTGACTTCGAAGTAGAGGAAAAGAGGTTCCTGCTAAGTGACTCATTACGAAAACAAAACACATACAAACCAGAGCAAATAAAACAGGGACAAAAAGCATGGGCAAAAATTTCCAGACTGGCTACGCTTGCATAGTATTCATAGCTCAAAGCATTTTGTGCATGTTCACTTAACACCCCCGACAACTGTAAGTGGTATCTACGAGTAGGATTAGCCTTTTACCCAGGTGGACACAATCTTAGGTAACCTCAGAAGGCCATCATTCTCCAAGTGTGGCCGTAGGACCAGCAGCATCAGCGTCACATGGGAACTAGTTAAATATGCACTTCCTTGGGCTCCACCCCAGATATACTGAATCAGAAGCTGAGAGTGAGGACCAGTAGTCTGTGTTTTAGTAAGAAGCCAGGGGATTCTCATGCATACTGAAATTTAAGAACTTCTGTGACGGGGTGCCAGGGTGGCTCAGTCCATTAAGCGTCCAACTGTTGATTTCGGCTCAGCTCATGACCTCATGGATCATGAGATTGAGTCCTGTGTTGGGCTCCTTGATGACAGCACGGGGCCTCATTGGGATTCTCCTTCCCTCTCTTTCTCAAAATAAATAAACTTAAAAAGAAAAAAAAAAAAAGAACTGCTGTAACAAGAGATAGAGCTGGGTAGTCCATCCACATGCTTTGTTCCCAGTCACTTTTCTACACTGCTCTAGCTACCGAAAAGATGAAAAATCAAAGGCAAAAAAAGAGAATATGGAGATTCCTCAAAAGAATGAAAATAGAACTACCCTGTTATCCAGCAATTGCACTACTAGGTATTTACCCAAAGAATACAAAAATACAGATTCGAAGGGGTACATACACCCTGATGTTTGTATCAGCAATAGCCGAACTATGAGACAGCCCAGATTTCCACCAAGTGATGAACGGACAAAGAAGATGGGGTGTATTTGAGTATGTACATACACACATATACACAATAGAATATTACTCAGCTACCAAAAAGAATGAAATCTTACCATTTGCAATGACATAGATGGAGCTAGAATGTATTATGCAAAGTGAAATAAGCCAATGAGAGAAAGCCAAATACCATATGATTTCACTAACATGTGGAACTTAAGACACAAAACAGATGAACATATGGAAAGGGGAGGGGGGGAAGAGGAGAGAGGGATACAAACTGCAAGAGACTCAATGATAGAGAACAAACTGAGGGTTGATGGAAGGAGGTGTGGGGGGATGAGCACTGGGTGTTGTATGTAAATGATGAATCACTGAATTCTATTCCTGAAACCAATATTGCACAGTATGTTAACTAAAACAAACAACAAAAAAAGACAAAATGACAAAAAGAAAAATGAAAGAAATGCAAACTGGTGCCCCAAGCTTTCTATATGCACCATTTCTGGTGTTGAGATTTTTTTTCCTTCTCCCTCTGGAGAATTGGAAACAGAAGGCAGAGGTTGAGGGTACTATGAAGATGGTTTGAGAAGTTAAAGCTCCTGTTTGCTCCCTTTGGTATGCAAACCCCAAACTGGCTTGCAAACTGCTATTTAAGGATTATAGGCAAGCCTTAGAGACTTTGCCCCAAGGTGTGGAATCTGGGGTGGATATACCTCAGGGGACCTGGCTGTTAGGTGCTTTTCCTGAAATGTTTGGCTTCTAATCTACAAAGATAAGGCTTAAAAAGTAGGGAGGATGGAACAGCAACAGAAATAAACACATGGGCAAAACTCATTTGCTCTATACCTGTTACCCAAAATTCATGCACACGCCTTCCTTTATGGCAAATCAGCCAGCATTTACCGTGGCTTCTGTACTGAAGTGAGGGGTTCTGGCCAGCCACCATGAACACCCAGTCTGTTTCTGTACATGCAAAGCCAAGAACCCATACTCGAACAGATGCGATGACCCCCCCAAGTCAGCCACTTGATCCCCACGAAGCTGATCTTGTTTATGAACAGAAGAACTTGTTGAGAAGGGGCTCAGGGGTTTGGAAAGGAATTGGGTGTCCCAGGGATCCTGCTGTTACTGTGGTAAGAGCAAGTGCTATGTTCTGCCTGGAAGCAACGATGGGGCAATTCCAAATTCCATTAAGGGCCATGGGTCCTGTGGCTCAGGTTAATAGGGGGATGAAGGGGACACAGGAGGCATCCCAGCACTCCTAGGCAGTTTTTGGACACCAATGTCTGCTGCACCAGAGTTTCCCACTGTACAGTGATCTTGGTGTGGGGTCCCAAGTGGGGCTACCTGTTGTGAGAGCCTGGGCCCAGAGGAGGCTGTGGGACTCAGAGGTCATTAGGGCTTCTGCACGGGTGTCACACCTGCATGCTTTGGATCTAGGCACCACATCCACTGAGCGCTTTTCCAACTGATACATGAGCAGATCCCAATGGCCACCTTCCCTGGACCCAGTATTCCTAGTATCTTGTACACGGATGTACTAGGCCTGGATCAGGAGGTTTTCATCAGTTGAGAGTGCCAATCGTGCTGTTGGATGCTGGGCCTGTGGATGCTGGCTATCACCTAGGACTCCCTCACTTTATCAGTCTTCACCGGTGTCTTGTCATCCTCCCCATCTCATCCCCCTGATGTGCTAATACTACCACACTGCCCTGGATAGCTTGATCATTCTCCAATCCTGTGTATCTTTTTTCATGCATTTTTCATTCTTTAAGATTGTAAATTGAATCATTTACTTGCATAATGTCTGTCTCAACTAGAATGCAACACACAAGTGCACTCCCTGTGTGTTTACTATTTTGTTTGGTTTGCCTGTTTTGTTCACTGCTCTATTCGTAGCGAACAGTGCCTGGTGCATAGCAGGTGTTCAATAAGTATCTTACTGCAGCATTTCACAAGATATTGGTGCCTCTCCAGGACTACTTTTTTTAGTAAATACTGGCACATCAGATCCAAATTCCTCCCCCAGGCTTTCAGGGTCTTCCGTCACCCACCCTGCACTCCTATTTCTCACTACCTGCTCGCAGATGCTCCTCATGGGATCAGGCTCCTTTCCCTACCCTAGGCTCAGCCTCATCTTTACTTCTGTCAACTTTGACCTAAAATGCATCCCTGGATTTTCAGCCTTTACAAATCCTATGCATTCCACAAAAACCTAATTCTAAGAAGTTTCCCCAGATTACTTTGATCCACCCTGATTTCCCCTTTACAATATTTCTATAAAATGACACTACAAGGAGCACCTAGGAGGCTCAGTCCATTAAGTGTCTGTCCAACTCCTGATTTCAGCTCAGGTCATGATCTCACCGTTCATGGGTTTGAGCCCCACATCAGGCTCTGCGCTGACAGCATGGAGCCTGCTTGGGATTCCCTATCTCTGCCCCTCCCCTCCTCATGCTCCCATTCTCTCTCAAAACAAACAAATAGACTTTAAAAAAATGACACTACATGCTTTGGCACTGAAAAATATTCTGCTCAATTATAGGTTAACAAAACAAAATTCTCCCTTTCAGTTAGTTTTCTAAGGGTTTCACATGGAAGAGTTTTGTTTTCTTAACAATGCTGTCAGCATTGAGCAGTTAGATCCTTCTTCTCCTCTATTGTGTCTACTACGGTAAATCATAGCAATCCACCAGTATTAAGGTCACTTTTTAGCAGAGGCTTCTGTATTACTGTTGGCCCAACATTCAGTGCCTTGTTGAACTCAGGTGTGGTCACATGACTTGTTCTGGCCAATGAAATGTGAGTAGAAAAGACACGTGTTATTTCTGGGAAAAAGCTGTTAGAGGCAAGGAATGGTTTGCTAGATCATTTCCCTCCATCACAAGACAGGCAATATTTTGATAGAGGCTGCTGTCAGCTTAGGTCCTGGAGGGAAGACAACAGGGAACCAAGTCCCAACTGATTGCTGAAAAACATGTGAGTGAGATACAAACCTTTATTTTGCTGTTATAACCCACTGACATTTGGGGTCTAAAAAATTTCTGTAGTAGAGTTTAGCCTCTCCTCTGATATACCCTCTGTGACCTACCCACCTGAAATGATATTTCCCTCTACTGAATGTTCATCATTCTTAGTGCTGAAAAACAGTGGTTTTGTTTTTTTTCCAGACAGGGGCTCCCAGAACCCTAAGATTTTGTGGTGCTGACCCAGAGGTGAAGAAAGTTTAAAAACTTTGTTTTTTTTTTTAATTAAGTTTATTTTTGTCTATTTTGAGAGAGAGATCAAGTAAGGGAGGGGCAGAGAGAGAGGGAGAGAGAATCCTAAGCAGGGCTTGAACTCAGGAACCGTGAGATCATGACCTGAGTCAAAACCAAGAGTCGGACAATTAACCAACCGAGTCACCCAGGCATCCCTAAAAATATTGCTTTAACACTACTCACATGGCACAAAATACACACAAACCTCTGTTAATACTGTTCTTCTGTGTATTTTCTCAATCCAAATTATCTACTAAACATGTTCTACAGTTTTGTTTTTATAGCACAGAAGGTGTCCTACACATTCATGGTAGCTATTGATCGACAGTGCACAGCCAATAAATCACTATTAAAATGCACTGAAAACATTGTAATAAAAAATAATACCATAGTAAGACATCACTAGCAAAGCCTGTCTCTTGGAATTTTCCCCCTGGATCATCTCATTATAACTGCTATCTCAAATAGCATTTACAGGTGGACAGACGTGATTCCAGAGCTGAAATAATGCTTTGAATTCTACAAGTGCCAAGCTGGACGTGAATCGAGAAAAATGGACAACAAAGGACCTAAATACTTGTCGTGTGGAAGGGAAGTGGGGCAGTGTTCAGCAAGGTGAACAGAGGAGGCCCTTTAAGGATGCACTAAAACACAGGCATAGGCAAAGTGGTAGCCCGGTAACCCGCTGGAACACAAGCCTACCTGACATCAGGAGCCAGGAACCGGCCAGCACAGGCTCTGCTCACCCACGGCTGGGAGACCAGGCAAGGGCAGCAGCCGGCACCACAGCCAGCAACTGCTGCCTTGATGGACTGAGTGCTTCCCGAGGCGACCAGACTCCTTTGCAAATCCTCATATGAACTTGACAAAAATCAGGTACAGCTTCACTGTGAAAGCTACGATCCTATACAAAGGCTTTTTAGCCTTTAGTTTTCCCATTTATTCATTCAGTAAATAGGTACCAAATGCAAGACTGAGTCTGGCATTTAGTTAGCTGAAACAACCGTACATCACTAACTGATTATATACTGGCCTGAAAAACACTGATTTTCTATTTTTTTCTCTTTTTTTTTTTTTTAAATATTCTGGGAGGTCATATTTTATTTTTTATTTTTAAAAGTAATCTCTACATCCAATGTGGTCCTTGGACTCAGGACCCAGAGATGAAGGGTAGCATGCTCTACTGACTGAGCCAACGAGGCACCCCTGATTTTCTATTTCTGACATCACCTTCATCATTTGAAAAAACAAAGTCTAGGGGCACCTGGGTGGCTCAGTCAGTTAAGTGTCCAACTTCAGCTCAGGTCATGATCTCACGGTTCGTGGGTTTGAGTCCCGTGTCGGGCTCTATGCTGATAGCTCAGAGACTGGAGATTGCTTCAGATTGCTCTCTCTGCCCTCCCAGCCTGCACTCTGTTGCTCTCTCTCTCAAAAAAAAAATTAAAAAAGAAAAAGAAGAGACAAAGTCCAAATAAGCATAATGTCTTATAAACTTTCCATTATTTGGGGGGTTAAGCAAACGTGAATCGAATCCCATGGCTCCACTGCTTGTCCTGTAATAGTTTGCCATGGCATCAAGATAGAACCCAAGCCCTCAGCATGGCACACCAGACCTCATGGTCTGTCCACTTTCTGCCTTGAGCCCCCACCATAATCCCAGACACCAGGCTCTAGCCATTTTTTTTTCTTTTTAATGTTTATTTTTGAGAGAGAGAGAGAGAGAGAGAGAGGGAGCGAAAGCGAGCACACTCGAGCAGGGGAGGGGCAGAGAAAGAGAGAGGGAGACACAGAATCTGAAGCAGGCGCCAGGCTCTGAGCTGTCAGCATAGAGCCCGACACGGGGCTCAAACTCACAAACTGTGAGATCATGACCTGAGCTGAAGTCGGACACTTAACCAACTGGGCCACCCAAGTGCCCCTCTAGCCATTCTTAATGGTGTGTAGTTCCACCAAACCATCTGCCTCAGCACCTTCAATGCATGGTTAGTCCTCTGTTTACCTGATCAAAGTGGCCAACTTCTACTGGCCTTTTTAAGGCTCAACCAAAAGCCTCTTCCATCCAACACCTTTCTTACCCTTCTCCTCTGTTGGTCCCATCCCTTGCCAGCCTGAGTTACTCTCCCCTTTGAGCATTCATAGTACTTCTGCAGCCCCTCTCCTAACACTGTTGAAACCACAGGTTTTCCTACAAGCAAGGGACTGTGTATCTTTGTGCTTGCAGAATCCATCATAGTGTGTGGCCCATACATAGTATATGATCAATATATGATTGTCGAATGCATGGATGACTGGATAAATTAACAGCTCAGGAAGTCCAGTTGGAGCTGGGGTCACCCTTGATCCAGAGACTAGATGCAACTGTTTTCCAGTATTATGGAAAAGTCAGCTAGTCTACCATTTGGGTAGGACTTGCAAAGGATCTGATTTTCTAGATGGCTAATCTAGAGTAGATGGACCCTCTTGGAGTATTGCTATGTGAGAACGCAGAAATCCAAACCCAGTATCTGGCTTTGAGTTTGACTCTTCCAACATTATGGAGAGATGGGATTTCATTTGTTTACACATTTATCTCCATGCATGGTACTAATGTTTTGAAATGATACCTGGGAATGTAGATGTTTGGTTCCATTTTATTTCTTCCTGAACAGGTAAATGGGGGGGGTGGGTTGGGTTGGGGATTTCAATTTCTAAATCAAGGATTCTTCTGATTGCTCAGAGACCCTTTTTTAATTAAAAAAAGGAAAGGAAAAATTTGAAGATGTGTCGAGTTGGGATAAGTTCTCTTTTCTTCTTTTTTGATTTCAACACTAGTCACGACTCTAAGGGAAGCAGTGAGGCTGGTCTCATTAATCACTAACCAGCAACCCCAACAAGATTGGAGGAAATTCCTCTGCCTTTCTCCTCTGACAAGGCTACCTTCTCTGGTCTTCCCATTCTATTCCCAGGTCAGAGGCTGATGAATCTGTTCCCCTTCTTTTAAATGTTTTTATTTTTAAGCTGTAAATTATAAGAAGTTTTACAAAATTGAGTTTTAAGAACTAGCCATCATTCCCAACCACCATCATCTCCCTATGAGCCTTTCTAGTCTTTTTTTTTTTTTTCATATAGAGACAGGAAACTTGTTTTTAAATCCCCCAAGTGAAAACCTCTAGAGGCCTCATACTATAAAAAGCTGAGAACTTCCCTTTTTGGTCCCTTGGGAGAATAGTCAAACATAATCAGATCATCCTTTTGAAGAGTTCAGCAATCATAGCAACTGAGTATTACCTTAAAATGCAAACAAGTACTTAAAGAGATTTTTAAAATCTTATTTTAAAAGATGAAATAATTATAGCTACCACTATATATTTATTATCCGTTTGAGAGTTCTCTTTCATGGTCTGTCAGGGGCATTCTCTCGTTCAGTATTGATGTTCCAGTTCTTTCTCCCCAGCTGCTTTTATTTCTTATGAGTTTCCTGTAGGTGTCAGAGAGTTGTGATTTATGATGAGGTAAATTCACATGCATTTGGCCCAGAAAAAGACAGTTGGCTGAGGGCTGGCTTAACTTTATTGCCTATTTATTGTTACCATAAGAACTCATCTTTTAGTGGCAAGGAATAAGGGCAATTGACCTACTAGTTTCCTCATAAACTACTTTGTAGGACAGAACCATTTCTTTCCATCAGCCCACTCCCTGAGATTGTGCCCTAAAAGTCTTTCTTTCATTTGAAAGTCAAGCGGGCCAGAGTCCAGACAGAAGGATGTGGAGCTCCTGATAGCAGGAGAAGCCCTGAAGTTGCCAACATGGGATGGGGTCCTTCAAGGACTTGACCAAAAACCAGGACATCTGATGGATTTGTGGGATTAACAAAGGTGGACTTCTCACTAGTAACACTGTTCTGAGATTATTTTTATTTTATTTTTTAATGCTTATTTATTTTTGAGAGAGAGAGAAACTGAGTGTGAGCAGGGGAGGGCCAGAGAAAGAGGGAGACACAGATCTGAAGCAGGCTCCAGGCTCCCAGCCGTCAGCACAGAGCCGGACACGGGGCTTGAACTCACAAGCCATTAGATCATGACCTGAGCTGAAGTCGAACAATCAACTGAGCCACCCAGGGGCCCCTGTTTGTGAGATTAGCGCAGTGGGTTAAGCGCCTGACTTCAGCACAGGTCATGATCTCACGGCTCATGAGTTCGAGCCCTGCATCAGGCTGTCAATGTAGACCCTGTTTCGGATCCTCTGTGGCCCTCTCTCTCTGCCCCTGCCCTGCTTGCATATTCTCTCTCTCAAAAATAAATAAACATTAAAAAAATTTAAATCTCACAAATAAATACTTTAGTAAAGACATCAAAACCAGTATTTCAGTGCTACACCATCTGCCTCAAAATAGCATCTGGGATTTCTTAAAAGATAGGCAGTATCCCTGCAGCGGCATTATGTATTGACACAGATTCTAGAATCAAATTGCAGGGTTTAGCCCCCCACTCTGCCACTTACTAGCCGTGTGGTATGGAGCAAGTTGCTTAATCTCTCTGAGTGCATCAGTTTTGTCATCCTGGTTACAGGATTAAGGGTACTCACACTTCATGGGGCTATCTCATTTAATCCCCACAAGCTTTACAAATAGTGCCAGAAACATGGTAAGCACACATCTGCTCGAGGGCCTTGGGTGCACAGAATTGGCTCATGACAAACTATAGGCTCTAGCAGACGACGCAGCATTAGAACAATTAAAGAAACATTTGAAATATAAAGTGTCCATAACACATGGATGGAGACCTTGTGCCAAGAGTCAGCAGAAATGTATGTTCCAGAAGATCTGCAGATCAGATCAGCTTAGATAGACCAATACATACTTGAGTTAAAAAAAAAAAAAAATTAGAAGTATGGATTCAGAAAGTAGAAGGTGCTATCTTGAGAAAACATGTCCTTCAAAATCTATTAGCAAAAAGTGTCACAAAACATTCATATCACCAGGCATCCAATGAGTTTATTTTAAGTCCAAGCCCTGAATCTCACTCAGAATTCCCAGGATGAGATGCCTGAGGGTGGTGGTGAGCCTGGAAGCTGTAAACCCACATGGCCAGAGGGCAGGGCAGGAAACCAGTCACCTCAGCTAATCCTGCTGAACTGTTAATCATAAACAAGTCTTTCACATTTTCTTACATGGCTTACTGCCAACGTGACTGAAGCCATCACATGGATTTTAACTATCTCCAGGCTAATGAGGCTGGAAACCATGTTGATTTCCACTCTCATCACTGAAAGGGCATAACCCAAGAGCTTGTAGATAAGGAATTGGTTCATTAAGGAATCAGTCAATGACATAAAACTGGTTCAAAATGCGTTCAAAATGTCAACAAAAGGCAGGGGGACTGTCCCAGATTATGACACTAAAGAGATATAATACTATAATCCAATGTGTGAGCCTTGACTGGATTCTAAGAGAACATAAATTATAAAAGGCATTCTTGGAATGATTGGAGAACTTGAAAATGGAGTATATTATTCACTGAGTATTATTTTTCTGAGTTTAATAATGGTGTGCTGTGGTAAGGCGGGAAGAATTCATTTTTAGGTGATGCATGCTCAAGTATTTAGGGATGATGTGGCAAGCTACTGACTATTTCTAATAGTTCAGCAAAATCTACAGATAAAGCTCAGGAGAGAGACAAAGCAAATGTGGCAAAATATTAACAACTGGGGGTTCTGCATGAAGACTGTGTGAGTATTTATTTTCTGTAGGTCTGAAAAATTTCAAAATGAAAAGCTGGGGAGAGGAGAGGTTTCAAAAAGGTAAAAGTAAAAAAACAAAACCAAACAAAACAAAAAACAAAAAACCCCATGGCCTGCTCCACTGGCTTCTGCAGCTTA